AAAGAGTTTAATGTGGTATGTAAACATGTGGTATGTAAAATTTCAAAACATACTGTTCACTCTCTAGTATGGAAACTGCAGTGCCCTCCACAAACATTTTCTGTTGCTTACCCTTTTGATCTTTCATTTAAAATTGTTAAAAAAACCTAACCTTTATATGCAGTACAATGACTGAAAGAAAAAAAAAACTAAATCTAATCAGGAAATAAATGAGAAAGAACAGAGATCACAGCGATGATGTGCAGGATGTTGAGCTACACAAATCAGGAAATGGCTACAAGAAAATAGCTGAACAGTTGAAAATACCCATTACCACTATCAGGGCAATAATTAAGAAGTTTAAAGCAACTGGAAATGGTTAGAATCTGCTGGGAAGAGGACGTATGTCTATATTTACCCCACGCACAGTGAGGAGGATGGTTCCAGCTGCAAAAGAATCTCCAAGGATCACAGCTAGGGAATTGCAGACATTAGTCACGTCTTGGGGTCAGAACGTTTCCCAAACTACAATCAGACACCACCTATAACCACAAGTTGTTTCTGGAGTTGCCAGAAGGAAAGCCTCTGCTGTCAAGGACAAACAAACTGATATTTTCAGTGGAACTGTGTTCTATGGTCAGATGAGACCAAAATAGAGTTTGTTGGCAACAAACACCAGAGACATGTTTGGCGTAAATACAAAGATAGCCATGCAGAAAAGTACTTTGTTGCCACTGTGAAGTATGGTGGTAGATCTGTGTTGTGTGGTTGTTTCTTCCAAAAGCCCTGGACAATTTAGTCAGATACATGGTATCACAGACATGGTGTGTACCAGCAGATGTTAAATAAAAACCTGACTACTTCAGCCAGGAATCTCAAACTGGGCCATGGTTGGATCTTCCAGCAGGGCAGTGATCCAAAGCACACCTCAAAATCAACACAAAAATGGTTCACAGACCACAGAATCAAGGTTTTGCCATAGCCACCCCAGTCCCCTGAGCTAAACCCTTTAGAAAACCTGTGGGATGAACTGAAGAGGAGCTTATCACTATTATTGCATAATGACCTAATAGTAGTTACTTGGCATAACTGCAGTTATTTGAGATCATCGCAATCTTAAAAGCTAACTGCAAAAAACAGTTGTTAGATTTCACACACTGGATCTGGATGAACAAAAGATTTAAGTTGAAAATCTTTACTGATATAATTTGTATAATTCGTTGAGAACAAAATGACATAAGAGTGCTCGATGGAAACCAAAATCATCAACCCACTGAGGGCTGGACTAAAAATCACATCAAAAATCAAAGTAAAAAATTGAGCTCCTGGACAGTCTGTGGGGCTAACAGACTGTGAGACTAACAGAGCTTAGAAGGAAGATTCAATTGCATACAGTGAACCCAAAAAGCCCATTAAATTGTTAATTGCAGTTATTTATATAACAATTAATTGACAGCTAGAATTTCATGATTGAGACAGCCCCAGTTATAAGGAGCATTTCCGCCCAGACTGCTTTTTGAATGCAGGGCAGCCAATCCTTAAAGGTACAGTAACAAAAACAGCTTGGTCAATTCTAAGGAATAAACAGAGGTTAGAAAATAGTCACTAAAAATAAATTACAACTGTTTTAAAACAACACAAACATCATAAGTGGAAAAAATACAAGAAAAATGTAGGATATGGGCCCTTTAAGATCAAGACCAATGCAACTTTTAGAAACCTCTATTCTTGCTATCTACTAATAATAAACTTTTTTAGAATTAATTGGAATGAAATTGAATGAACTTTGCAACTGGAATGAATAATATACCCTTTTGCTGTATGGAATAATCAGAACAGTTCTAGGAAATATACACAAAGAAAACTGCTGGGCTGGTGTTCCTGCAGGTTCTCATTCCAACAAAGCAGGCAAACACCTGATCAGCAGTTTGAAGACTGAAACCAACTGATTAAACAAGTGGAATCAGGTGTGCTCCAGCTTGTTTTGAGTGAAAACCTGCAGCCACGCTGGCCTTTGTGGATAAGATTGGACACCCTGGTCTAGGGTTTTATATATCTGCCAGAGTGGTTAACTGGCCCAAGATATCATTTGATAAAATGACCTGGAAATTGGAGCTGTTTCCATGCGTACAACAGGATGATTAAATCATGTGTATGCCTCCCATTGTTTTTTTTTCTAAAGGAGCATGCCACTTGCCAGGAAGGGAACAGTGTCCAGCGCCCTCTATATGTGCTGGCTGGAGACTTTATCTAAAGATCTTCCACCAATTTTGCTTGTAAGAGGAAACCACCAGAGCGTCCTAACCTTCTACTCATAAAACCCAAGCAAAGGCATTGTGGAAGTACAAAGACAGTACACTGTTACAATCAATATGGCTGTGTGGTGATTATGTCTTGCGTGTTGCCAAATCTTCATGTATTTCTTCACATAGAAAATGTGAAGCCAGTCTAACATGCTAACAGATCTACTTAAGTGTTTTAGTCCCGTAAGGGTTTTTTGTTGTTGTTGTATATAAGACCATTAAAATAAGACTGGAGAGTAGGCTGTTCTGAAATATTAAGTATCAGGACTGACACTGAAAATTATATCAAAAAATGCTTGCAATCTTGACGCTGATACCATTTCAAACAGATTATTCCATTCCATTACTATTCCCTCTGTCTGAAAGCTGATTAGAAATGGAGTTTGCATGCATGTAATCTATTCATTTTATCTGGTTAGAGCTTCTTCACACTACCTGCTCTTGTTACACATGTTGCGACATTAATGGCGCTCAAACTGTTCCAGTGAGCTGTAGCTCAGAACATCTCTGTGCTTTTAGTTACCAGCATTTACAATGCCATCTCTCATTATGCTGTCAGTTATAATGGATTTATCAAGGGCAGAGTACTAACAATACACATTCAAGATGTGTCCTGTGGCATTACAGTGAAAAGCATTGCTGAAAGGATGTTTTACTTATCTGCAACACTGAACTGATTAAATAAATGAATTTTAACAATGTTGCTGTCTTTTCTGTGATGTCTGTGTTGTGATTTTAGTCTAAAATTGATATTTGGCCAATTATAATGCATAATATATTTTTTTCAAGATTAAGATTATTAAGAATACAGATCATTGAAAAATACAATGAAATTCTTATACTACAACAGCATGCTCCTACATATGAAAATATAAATAAATAGGAGCACATAGGAGAGGGAGGCAATGCACGTACAAGAAGGGTATGGCACATATGAGACAAGTTCGCCAGACAACAAGTAACTATCAATAAAGAAGTGGCACAGAACAGTAAAGGTGACTAGAAGTAAGGAATGTGGTACATACAGTAATAGCCCTGCATTGTGAATATACAGTGTAACAAAGCATAGCACTGTGTGCAGAATAATACAATGTAATGGACCACATGTGGGGTAATATAGTGTACAGTAAACTATTAAATAATACAGTATTATGTATAAAATTCATAAGAATATGGTACTTGTACTGGAATATCTACATGATATCTACATATCTACATCTGTAGCTAGTCAAGAATATCATTATGGCACTGTGTGTACATTTGAATGACAACAAAGAAGATCTATTGAAACATGATTTATGACCATATGAAAAACGATGGCTCTTCAAGGGATCTTTAGTGAAGAGAATGAATCTATGTAGAACCATGAGTTCTATGCAGAACCATTGCAGGGTGAAATGGTTCTTAAGATTGACAGAGAATGTGTCATATATGGCTCTATGTAGCACCAAAAACTGTTCTGCTATTGTTACGATGATAAGCTTGTAACAACAGAAGAACCCTTTTTGGTGCTATACCACACACGACACATTCTCTGTCAGTCTGGAGAACCATTTCATCCTGCAAAGAACCATTTCATCATGTAAATGGTTCTTTGAATGTTCATGGTTCTATACAGAACCCCTGACTTGACTTGAAGAACCATTAAAGAAGAATGTTTATAAAGAGTGAAATATATATGAATCCCAGAGTCGAATGTTGATAAATGTGAAAAGCCATGATGTTTTTCAAACTCTTCATCTTTTGAGACACGGTCATCTTCTCTACTCCAAAGTCCCCCTGCACTTAAACGGTCATCCACAAACGGCCCCCGGGTTTATTTTGGTAAGTTTAAGCACAGGGTGGGCTAGTCCTTGATCACAAACGCTTTCATAAAGCCGATGCGGGAGCGCTGCTTTCAGGGGGTCAAGCAAAATGTGGCGTTTCAGTGGCTGCGTTTTCCCAATGAAAACAATCGAGTCATTAATACCCTCCCATCCTCTTGATTTAGGATTCATCCCCGTTTTCTGTCAGAAATCCTATGTGGAGAATGTCAGTCACCTCCTCCGTGGAGCGGAGTGTTAAGCTGAACGGAGCGGACGCGTACGACAGCGGCGATGAGTGGGAGATCGGGCTCGGGGATCTGATCATCGACCTGGACGCCGATTTGGAGAAGGATCGACGGAAATCGGAGATGAATAGTCGCGCGCTGGCCATGAAAGGCGCCGAGGAGGCTGGCGAGGAGGAGCTGGAGCGCGAGCGCGAGCGCGAGCGCGCGCTGGACGGCCTCGCGGGTCCCGGCGCGCAGCCTGCCGCTGCCCGAGCCAGCCTCTGCAAGGAGGCGAGGAAATTCAAGGAGAAACGGCGGCATTCGGCGGGTGACGGCGACGCCGAGGCGTTCACGCCAGCTGTGGGCAAACGGCGCGAGCCTCAAGGACGCCCCCCCGGAGAGGTCTCGGGGATGAATGCGGCAGCGGCGGCGGCGGTGGTCGAACGCGGCCACCCCGAGCAGCACCCCGGTGATGTCAACGGCTCTTGCGCCAAAGGCAAAGAGGGGAAGAGAGGGAGGAATCAGGGCAGGGGGCTCAAGCGGGAAGCCAAGGAGTCGGCGCGAGCGCGGAAGGACAGGCACGGCGGCGATGCCGCGGGATTCGGACTGGGCCCCGTCCCGCAGAACGACGGCTGGAAGGAGAAGCCGTGCTATTGTGGGGACAGCGGAGCGGGAGACCTCGGTAGGGGCGCGATGGACGCTGGGATGAGGGCTGCGGGCGCTATTGTTGCCGACAAGGCTGAAGGAGCCTGCTCGCCTGAGCGAGCTCACAAGACGGTAAGGCAGAGGCCATCGTTAAACGGTTGTTGATCTAGCAGCTAGCGTGAGGGTCTGTCACGTCTGCTGATGACCGCCTTGTTGATCGCATTAGAAAGGATGCGAGTGTAAGACTGAGGCATTGTGAGGAAATGCGAATGTGAATCAGGCTGCGGGCTTTAGGTGAGCGTTTATGTGGACGTCTGGGCTACATGTGTGTGCGTGTGTCAACTGCAACCAAGAACCTCTCGTAAGCAAACAGAGAGAGTGCGTCCCTGCATCAGGCATGTTCACGAGCTGGAGGAACATCTTCCCTGATAGGGACGTTCCTGGAAGTAAAACACAAGACAGCCTCCATGTCACTCTGCCCAGCAAGATAAATGAACAAGTGCTGGCCGCTTGTAAAAGCATCACTTCTAGGTTTCCCATTGTTGTCAGCCATTTCCTTTGTATTTTGCTGGGCACCCCTTTGAATTTCTTGCTGGCTTGTTGCTATTGGAGACCTCAGCAGCATCACTCCTTCTCTTTTTTGACAAAGCATAGGGTGCTTTTGAAGCTGGGATGTGATTTCATGTTGTATTTACTCTTTTTAATACAGAGAGAAGCCCCCCCCCCCTTCTTTGGCCTTGCCTGTTCCTATCCATTGTCCTTATGTCTACATAGTGGTGACATTATATTGGACATTTGTGCACCTCTTTTTGTTAATTCACCATATATCTTTTTCAAAGGACTGACATGTTAGTCAGTTCAGTTCAAGAAGAAAAGAACAGGTTAAACCACTCATATATATTGTTTTTATTGTCTTTATTATGCACTCATAGCACCACCATTTGTTTAAATTACATGATATTCCTACACTGTGGGAAAAAAAGGTGCTGAGCATGTACAATTTTTGTTTATCAAGGTACAAACAACATAAATAGACCCTCAAAGATACAACAATGGTTTTAAGCTCCAACAGTGTATCGTAAATGAGTTTTTCCCAGGAAAAAGATACATAGGTTCATAACCTAATGTTTTAAAACAGAACAATATAAAGCCTGGAATGCAAGACAGAGTGTGTGGAGTTAACACATCTTTAAAAAAATAAAATGTCTACTGAATACAGTACAATTATGATCCCTAATTAAAGGTACTGAAGATGTACCCTTGAGGGTACCAGCCCAGTGACAGTTTAGTGCCTTTTTCTGAGAGTGTACGCATTCTAACTGTCACTTATAAAGACGTCACCTGTAATAGGATTGAACAGCGCGCTTGCTTTAGTAAACAGATTAGTGCATTAACTATAAAGGTGCAGTTGGTGTTTCGTATTAAGCACCTATGTGGCATTAAAATCTGTGAAAAAACATAACTATTTATTCCTTCAGACCACATTCAGTGATTTAATAGACACATAGTGGTGTAGTGGTTTCATAAGCATATTTCAGCACCCACTCTTCCAACATCCTCTTTTCTTTTCTGTCTTATCAGTTAAGTATAAAAACCAGGTCAGTGGGGACCAATACCCAAGAGGCTGAAAGAGCCATTGAGTCAAACTACATGGAGCCATGTCAACCAGGAACAAGCGTAAATTTGGAGGGGATCGTGTGGCATGAAACTGAAGAGGGTAAGACTGACTTATTGAGCTATGATAACGCAATCATGACATTAGGTAATATTATGCCTTTAAAGGTAACAGATTAAGCTTGTGCCATCAGTTCTGTTTTAAGTGATAAAAAACATCTCTTGAACTGCTTTATGGCTAAATTTTGAATGGTTGCTGCCCTAATCATTTGATACTGTGTAATGCTGTAATGATCTGCATTCAGAGGCTAGTTAACAGTTTAAGTGAATAAATTAAGATGTGATTCTCGGGCATGCATGTAGACGTGTGTCACAAATGCATGTGAAGAAGGTGAAGGACTACTTTTGCCATAAGCTATGAACACCACAGGGCTCCATTTTCAAAGCAGCTGGGAGACTGAATCACCTACTAAAGCGTTTGAGCATTTGAGGGAAGTGGAGACACTGGTTGCATATTGATTAAGCAAATTAAAATTGCAGAACACCATCGTAACATCCCTGGCTGAGATCAAGCACATAATGAATCCATACAAAAATACTACACTAGAAGCCATTTAAACAGTGCATAAAGAAACATGAACAAAATGTGGAAGGTTGTAGTAAATGTAGGGTTAATTTAACACATCAAGCATTAACAGCATTTCCTTTGCGTATATGGGTTTTTGTATACATACAGTTGCTAACAGAACAGAACAAAATCATCAACATTGTTGTCATTTTTTAAAAAACATGTTATTTGAAAATATTAGCCTCCATTTACTCTATGTCAAAATTTCATGATGAATGGACCAATAGAAATTTAGAATGATGTTAAAATTGCTTGGAGTAAAATATTTTTACATTAACTTACACTGAAATTAAAGGATTTCTTTTCCTTCCCCCGAAAACTTAGCATTTTGCATTTTGGAAATACGAGCATGTTATTTTAAGTAACAGAATGCTATTGTTAATCTGTCAAATTGGCTGCAGCTGATACCTGGTTTAATGCCAGAGAATAACACTTATGGAACACACTTTAAAAGATGGTTCTTCAAGGGGTCGTTAGAAAAGACAATGGTTTTATTTAGAACCATTAGTTTTAAATGGTGAAATAGTTCTTCAGAGCTTCTTCAGATTGATGGAGAATGTGTTGTGTATGATTTTATATAGAACCTTTTTGAAAATAGTTCTATATTGCACCAAAAAGGGTTCTTCTGTTGTTACAATGTCAAGCTTGTAACAAAAGAAGAGCCCTTTTTTATTCTATATAGAACCATATAACAACACATTCTCCATCAGTCTGAAGAGTCACTTCACCATGCAAAGAAACTTTTAAGCATGAAATGGTTCTAGATAGAACTGATGGTCCTAAACAGAACCATTGCCTTTACTAAAGAACCCTTGAAGAGGCATCAAGTGTGAACAGTATAATAAATATTAGTACACAGAACTCTCTAATTTTTTTGTTGTTTATGTGTGCTATTTTTAACATGACTCATGGTTATTATTTCTGTCTGACTGCCTGACTTCAGGGGTTCTTGTGGTGAATGTCACATGGAGAAAAAGGACCTATGTGGGAACTCTCTTAGACTGTACCAAGCATGACTGGGCCCCACCTCGGTAACATTTCACTTTTTCTTCATATGCACAATAATTTCTGTGTCATCTTTGCCATACATTGTTTTAAATGAAAGTAGAACAATGTTAAGCAAAATACTAGGGGGAGAGCCCCTAATAAGCCCACGTACATCATAAGCCAACTTGCACTTTTATTGTGAAATGTTCAAAAATTCGAAGTAATTAAAAAATTCTGGGAGTCTCATCCAATAAACAGATCTTCTATGTAAGTAATTGTGAATCGTTTTTTAGTTTGAGACATGTATGTGAACATGGAGATATCTTCCTTCCTGAACACAAGACAAAGTCACCTTCAGTACTTTATTAAACATTTTAAAATATGATCTCGAAAAGAAACTCTTTTCAGAATTCTGTGGGACAAATAAGATAAATGTTAATAAAAAAAAAATATATATATATATAGATAGATATATATATATAGATAATTGAGCAAATTAACCACCTATATGACTGTGCTCCAAATTTAGATATGTCATGATATGTCATGTCCAGAAACATACAGTCGTATGTAAAAGTTTGAACACCCCCAGTCACGTGACGTTTTGTTGATTTTCTAAGTGAAAATAAGTTAACACATCCTCTACAGAGAACAATTTTAGACTTCAATATATTGATAACTTAATACATATATACATGTACATGTAATTACACATGTCATTTTTGCACAGGCCACATTAATGTTTTGTTTTTTCCCAATATGTTAAATTCAACAAATGAACAGTAAAGAAATGTACAGAAGTGTGTTCTCTGTAAAGGAAGTGTGAACTTATTTTCACTTAGAACATCATCAAAATGTAATTTGACCTGGGGTGCTCATACTTTTGCATACAACCAAAAGCAACTCCTGTATTTCCCTTAGCTCTGTACAAGAGAAAATCAATCAATCAAAATCAATACTATAGTTTTACTATTAGTTTTCCTCTTTGATTTTTTCATCAGTCTACTGTGTCTTGCTGCCTTCAGTCATGTTTCCTAACAGAATCGCCTGATCCATTGTAATTTATTGCATTTTTTACCATCAAAAATGCATCTATATGCATAAAAACATGGATGGAAACCCAGCTACAGACATTACATTCCCTTTCAAGGAGACAGTAACTTTAACCCAAGCAACTACCTAAATACACCTTAGCTGGCTTTCTCTGTCATGCGCATCCAATAAGTCTAAAGCAGATGTTTAAGAGGATATATAAGATAATCTAGTAGCATAAGGAAGACAAAAATTCAGGGTTAAAAAACAGGAGTTTCGAAAACTGAAGTTAAAAAAATATACATTTTTAAATATAAAAGATATAAAGAAAATAAGACTTTTAATAACTGTGTAAGACCTGCTAGAGCACCAAAATGTTAAACATTTACATTAATAATTGTTCCCAGTTTAAATGTTTGTTATAAGTTCTTCTTAAAAGAGACTTTCTGTTGTTCATAATCTTATCAACTATTAAAATGAATCAATTTCATTTCTAAAACAGTGAGTAAGCTTAAAAGGAACGCAAGTGGGCTTAAATGGAACAAAGGGCACCTTTAAGCCAAGTCTGGACTTTTCATCTTTTCACTATTTTTTAAATAAATCTAATAAAACATGTTTGATTGTGTTAAAAGAGATATTAGGGTTTTTTTCCCCTTAATTTGGTTGTACATAGCATTTAAATGAATACTAAATGCAAATATACTTATGTTGCATTGTTGTTATTCACTAGGTTTTGTGAGTCCCCAATGAGTGATTCTGACATGCCATGTGGGCGTGGACGTGGTAAACGGATGCGATTGGCAGTGTCAGACCAGCCTGTCGTAGAACCTGGTCTCTCCAAGATAAGAGGGCTAACACATAAGAGGCGTGGTGTGGGAATAGGCAACAAAGGCAGGCGAGGAAGTCTAAATCTTAGTACCTGTAGGACTCCTGCGTACTATTCAGTGGAGGACATAAAGTCAAGTCCACTCATATGCGGCAAAAGAAAAGGCAAAGCCCCTGCTGATCTAGATTTAAGCTTAGTTGCAGAAGATGTTAGGAATGGAAACGGGAAACGAATACGTGCCAAATCCAGGAGTGCGCCTTCCACTCCGCAGGGGAAATCAGACCCAGCGTTTCTGGACCAAGTGTGTGCCTCTCCGATGCTCATTGATTGCCCACACCCTAACTGCAACAAGAAATACAAGCATATCAATGGGCTACGGTACCACCAATCACACGCACACTTGGACAGTGATAGCAAACAGGAGTTCGAGGCAGAGAGTGAGGACAGGCTCTCTGATTATGAAGAACCCCTCAGTAATGTGGCTTTTGACTCCTCTGAGAATCTTGATATTATGTCCAAGAAGCCAAGAACCATGTATAAGCTCAGTTCAGGTGGATCTCCAAAGAGCAGAAAATTGTTGCTAAACAGTGAACACAGTCCTACAGCGAACGCTAAGCCACGGAGGAATATGGTAGGTAAAGAGGGACCCATTGACGACTTGAGCAACCTGCCACTTATTTCAAACATGTCTGTGGTCCTTGAGAACTGCCTCATCACGGATCGCAACTCATCTGTGGAAATGCCTAAGCTTGAAGCTGAGGGTGTCATTGATAAGAGGGAAGTTAAAAAAGAAAATGAAACTGCTGAAAGGTGCTCAGCCAAAGCTAGGGCTAACAGACTTATTGCTAATACCCCTGCACCCCCAAAGCTTATCGCCATTCCCACGACATTTCCTACCAAAATCACAGATGGCTCATTTCATCAACCTTCTCCAACTGTTACTCTCACAAAAGCTAAGAACCTTTCACTGAAACCTATCAAGCCAAAGTTGGACATTGTTGCTCAAGTTAACATGGCAAATGCAGCCATAGTTTTAAGCAAAGAAAGTAAGAGAAAGGATAAGCACAGATTAAAGGACAGAAACTGTAAAGACCCCAGAAGTCCAAAAACAGATCCTGTTTTCACAAAAGCAGATGATACAAAAAGTATAGGGAAGGACTTTCCGGTTAGCCTGTTGAAAGAGCATTTGAGCAAGCAAGACGTTGTCAATGGTCCGAGTGAAAGTCAAGAGAGTCGAATGGCAAGTATCAGAGCTGAGGCTGACAAGGTGTACACTTTCACTGACAATGCCCCCAGTCCGTCCATTGGGAGCTCTGCAAGAATGGACCCTGGCACACTGTCAAATGGAGATAGTAATACAACCAAGACAAACAGTCCAGCATACTCAGACATATCTGATGTGGCTGAAGATGGTGGATTAAATTCAAGATCCAGAAGAAACTCAGCTCCTGATTCCAATCTGAATGGAAATATCAATCCCAAGATACCCTGCCCAATTACCCCCGTCACTGCAGCCCAGTCGTCAAGTCACAGCCATGGATATGAGTCTTATGGTCTTCCGGGTTACATGCACTCTGGCCAAAGCAACTCTGCTGCTTTCCTAAAGGTGTCCACACCTTACAGCAGAACCAAGGAGGACGCAAGAGACTTAAACGAGGACCTGAAAAACTCAGAATCAAGTGCAGATGCCAGTTCTCAATCACAGCTTCAATTAGCCATGACACAAACGCAAACTGCTTTAGCTCAGTCCTTGTACTATGGACAGTACACTCGTAACGTCCCCGCGGACCAGAAGGTTTTGATAGTTCCAAACACCCACCGACAGCAGAATGAGACATGCTGTGATGATGTGCAATACAGCAAACAGAGTAGAGTGCAAGCAAGACGAGGACCTGAGCAGAAAGAGCGGACGAAAGAGGATACAAAACAGATGATAACATCGTCTGTGGCCATCCACAAGGGAACAAACTCGGTTAAAATCAGCTGTGCAAAGCCTGGTTTCATCTACGTAGAGTTGGACAAGCATCAGCAGCCTCAAGCGAAGTCTTCTCTTATGTCAATGGCTAAAGATCAGGGGCATAACAAGGAGTCTGAAGACTTCAACCCAGAAAGTCAAAATACAAAAACAAATGTGGACACAAATGTAACATATCTAAATGTAAGTCTTTGACTTTACTACACATTTTCAAAAAATGTGCTTGTAAAAACGTTACAAATTTTATATATGTCTTTGATTTAAAGATAGCAGTCCAAAGAGTTTTTAAAGTTATGTAACCTTGTTTTATAAATTTCTTACTAATATTGTACCCTGAAGGGATTTTTGATGATGTGACTAATGTTGAGTTCAAGTTATCAGAATATCCCTTTCATCACTACTAACACATAGCCACTACTGTTGTATGACAATGGACCTCCCTTGCAGATGTTTAATTGCGTTGGTTGTAAGACTCTAAACTCTTTGACGGTAGATGTTCCTCTGGGTTTAGGCTTCAGAATCACAGTCCTGGAGCCACTCTTTTCAGTCCAAATATGTGAAGCAGCAAAATCAAGAGGTAAACAAGGTCTCTCAGGAAATAGGCCCAGACAAGGTGAAAGACTGGCGTGTGCCTCCCGATCCAGAGTCCAGACTGGAGGCTGAGCTTCAAAATGTAAAGTGTGAGACACCTTCTGAGGACATGGAAGAGGGCACCAGAGCAGAGGCAGAAGAGATGCCCAGCGAAACCTCTGAAGACTCGCAGAGTATGAGAGTGGCAGTATCCTCTTCTCAACAATCGTACATTCAGTACCAGCACTCCTATCCGTACCTACACTTATGTGAGGCAAACAACTCTTCTTTTAGGGTGATGTCACCAGCACTGGTGCACAACTACCCAGGTAATATTGTCATACAGCATTGACATGGATGGCTTCTCACAATGTTCTTTTGGCTTGTGGTTCTTTCATGCTCTTCACAACACTATTATTCAGTCAGTTTCATGGTTGTTAGGTTTCCATTACCCTCTGTATGGGAAGACAGCGGGCAGAGAGGACTCGGAAGGGACACAGAACAGCAAGCCAGTTACTGACCCAACAGCCCTGGAGCTGCTGCCCCATCACAACCTTCCATACCATGGCAAATCTCCTGTGGTAAGTGTTCTTCTGGCAATTCCTAATCACAAAGCCCAAGTTACGCCTCAGGGATGTGTGGTTTCACTCAGAGTTTTTCTCTTCTTCAGCCTGGGGAGCGGGGATCTCCAGATGAGGACAGGGAGACAGAGCAAGAGAGAGAAACCGTTCCATTTGCGCACCACCTTCACACGCACCATCACACTCATCTGGGCATGAGCTACACTCTTGTGTCGGGGCAATATGACCCATATCAAGGTGAAAAGAAAAACTAAATGAACCTCAGAACCAGTTAATGTTTACTAGAAGCATAGTAGCTGGTTGCCATGTTTAAAAACAAAGTCCTTCAAGCTAATTTTATTTGGTTTAACCATGTAATCTTTGAAGGTCTGAGTACGGCAGCCCTGGTTGCCAGCCAGCAAGTGGCAACCACACAGACCACTTCCTGTGGTATGTATGGCCTTTATGCATGACTGGAAATAGCCCCTGTCTGTTTACTAGGGGATTTGTGAATACTGATTATTCATTTTACAATTGCAGAAAATGATGGGAAGATGTGAGTCCAAACAACAGGTTCCTGGCTCACACAAGGATTCATAGACATCAATTCCATGGTGTTATTCATTGCCTCCATGGGAGGCAGAAACTACTTTCTTTTTTTAATTAATGAATGTAACATTAGAGGAACAATGCAGTGCTAATAATATTATGGAACGATGTATAGGTATCTAATGGTATCGCCATAGTGAGACAAGGCTTTGTAAAATAGGCTATTTGCTTTTTGGGTGCCTGTCATTAAAGACAAACATGTAAAGCTTTCTGTAATAGGACTTTGCCTGTAAATGGCTGCATCTAGCTAGTTGTATGCACATGTATCGTCGTGTACCATAATATTGAATGTATTTGATATTTCATGACCTCTGTGTGGTAAAGGATGATTTGCAGTAGGTTACAAGTGACTGTAAGGTGGATCTGTCTGCATTAACCTATTAACATGAATATACTGTTATTAGCCACAGCCATTAACTGATTGTATCGTATCAAGTGAAAGGAGTTAATCGACACATCTCAGTGCCATATAGTATTATTGTGATGTACATTTTGTACATAGTTAACAAAGCTTAACAGCAGATATTACTTGCTTATGTACAGTTGTTTTCAGTGCAATGTACGGTTGTCTATTCCACCTCACTTACATGGCAAAAGTAGTCCTCCCCTTGTTACTTGAATAGTGCTGCATTACTTAAATATGTTTACAAGTACATCTTTGGAAAAACAAGTCAGTGTTGTAGTTTGGTTCGTCCTTACTGTCATTAGTTTTTTCTTGATGTCAACTATACAGTACCATGAAATTACAGTTGCTTTTTATACTGTTCTTGCCTTAACACATTTGTCAATCCAAATAAAAAGTAAAGGTTGTTTGTAAATGAGTTCTTTATTATTGATGCCACAATGACATGGACAATAGAATTAGACAGCTCCAGACTTTTTGGCACTCGTGGATAAAAATAAGCAGAAAGAGTCAATGAGTATTTGTCTTTGTTGTTTGTCAGCTCAGTATTGTAACTGGGGGGTCGGGGGAACGATCACACTGAAGCCTGTGACATGGTGGGGTGCATGGTATTGTACCCACTAGCAATTTTACTGCGACCATCACAGTGATGCTTTCATAACTATACATATAAAATAAGAGGCAAGCTAGAGGTGGGCAATATGACAATATTTTAGCATTTTATTTGGAAAAATATTATTATCATGATCATCATCTGCATGGTTCATTAAACAGAGCATAATTAGTTCTATTTAACTGGCTTCAGTGCAGTACAGAATACGAAATGTAAATAAAATTAACCATGCCTGGCAGTGTCTGTGTGTCAAAATATCATGATACGTATGGTGCATTGTGAAAATGTATTTAAGTATCATGATGTGATATTTCGGCCATATTGCCCACCTCTATATAAAGCCATGACTCACAGATGGACCTATGAAATGTAGTTTTGTAATAACTGCAATTCGGGCTGAGGAACATGCCTGAAACCCCTCCTTCTTCCAATCTACCAGCCTTTAAATTCACATACTCACCTTCTGCTCCTAAGATGAAGTTTTCGCAACCCCCACCGCTACCCCATCTCCTCCTTGTTCATAAGTCCTACATCAGTCCTACTACAACTATGGGGGAGTCCACCCCATAGTTGTAGTAGTGGTGGTAGTATGAGTTTTCCCTCATACTACCACCACATGCCGAAGGCACGATCCAAACTTGGAAATTTAACAATATACTTCACCAGTCAGCCCCCATGAACACTACACAGACCACTTTTATTCAAAATACATCTTTTCAGTTATATTTACTTTCTATAGATTCATCACAAATTGCAACATATATTTATTATTTATGACTCTACAATCTGAAAAGATCAAAATGAATCTATTCAAATAATACATCAAAATGTATTACATCAAAATATACATGTCACATAGCAAAGTTTCTACTCTATGTGACCTTCTTATTTGGCCAATGGCAGATTGACAGCTAAACATGATGCATAATTATTGAGACATAACAATAGCATGCAAGCAAGCAAATTACATTGTCACTTTTGTTCATTGAAAGGAATGTTTATATTGGGGCTTTTTTGCACAGGGGCATTTAAAATCCTAGTTATGCCACTGTATTTAGTTTTGCACTGAAAATGTAGGAGAAATTGTTTTCAACCAGGGGAACATTATATGAATGTCATGTTTGTGCTTTATGTGTTGCACACAGATAAAATAAAAGCAACATATGTACCAATTACAGAATAATTTACAGTCATGTGCAAAATGTGCTGTTTTGTTGAATTTGTTTTGTTGCAATACGTTAACACATCCTCTGAAAAGAACACACTTCTGCACAATTACTGTTTGGGGAAAAAATGAAACATAAAATGTGGCCTGTGCAAAAGTTTTTAACAAATAGAAACTGTGCACTAAAATTTGCAGAAAAATGCAATGAAAAGCTTTTTGTTTCCTCTAGAGGATGTGTTAGTGGTGAGTGATACAGCAAAAATACAATATCACAACACTTGAAGACATTTTCATGATAGAAAGTACATAACACAATGTCTAGTTTTCTGATACTTGCTAAGTCTGATAAAAAAGCCCCAGTAGAGCCACATTTATTTATTTATTTATTTATTTATTCATTCATTCATTTATTTATTTACTTTAAGTTTTGCATCTCTATTAGAATTTAAAATGTATCTTTTCTTCATAACTTGAAGAACCTGGTGGGACGACATTCTCCTTACGGTGGTGGTGGTGTTAGGAACCAGTGTTGATGTCTCTAATGCATAAATATAGCAATTTTATTTACTATGCAATATGACTCGTAAACCTACATGTGTGTTGTGAGTTTTTATGTTATTGTGATAACGGAAAAACAGTGGTGATTTAGAAAAATTTCTTTTGGATCTATTTTGCAATAACTTACATCAGCCTGCATGTAACATAACAATGTCTCAATTATCAAGTAATGTATCTGTAAGCACTTCATGTAATAACTAACGCTAATAGGCAGCTTTGAGAGACGTCAAAATGGTTCATTTACAGAGCTCTAGATGCAAGAGCAAAACAAAAAATACAAATATTTTTACAAAAATAATTCATTTTAGAATGCACTGTCACTTTACTCACGTCTATCCAGACATCCTTGACTGTAGAGGGGGCTCTACCAAATCTCTCACTCCAACGCCGCGGCTTTGGGTGAAGCTCAGTTTTGAACAAACTAGCGGCAGTAAATAGTATTGATGCCACTGAGCTGGGAGTATGAGCGCCCTTTTGAAAGAATGACTGTCACAAACTGAACTTTTTTGAACGAGGATCAAGATAATGCCATGGCTTCAAAATCTGACCAACTTCTTATTGTTGTTTCTATCCTTGAAGGTACGTTCGGTGTTGCCAGTAAAGCTAATTAGCTTGGTTAGCTTGCTAGCTAGCTACGTTGCTAATACCAGAATAAACAAACGTTTTTGGTTAAAAAGAGTGCAATTTGGAGAACTTCATCATTAGCTACACAATTCTTTTTCACCACGTTTAACGTGTAACTGAACTGCTTAAGGTATGAACTTATAGATAGCTAACAAAGTCTGTTAAATTTAACTAGCTAGCTTAAGTTAGTTGTTGAGCTTTTTATCCTTCCAGCAGGTGACAGATTGAACAGCAGCTGTTGTGTCGTATCCACGGAAGCTGTTATTAGCTAGAGAGCAACCGACTTCGCTTATTGCCTTTAAATATGGGTGTTATTGCAGTGTTAAAGACAAGAGACAATACTTCATATGTATAACATTATAATGTTACGACCAATAATATCATGACTTTTAGTAATGTTAACGCTATAATCTTTAACCAAGTTCGAACGTTGTTGGTTAGTTACTGTTGCGACGTTGATGCCTGTGACGGTTACAGTTGGAGGAAAGAAACAAGATATACTTTATAACACGTTAGCCTATTTTATAGTTACTCATTTAGTTTCAGTACTATTTAGTGTATTTTAAAGGTGCAAACATAATAGGCTTATGCCATATAGCTATTAAATTATGTTAAAAAAAGGAGCACGGCTTTAAGGTTCGTTTGTTAACCTTAGATAAATGTATACATACACCGATCAAGCATAATATTATGACCACCTCCTTGTTTCTACGCTCATTGTCCATTTTATCAGCTCCACTTACTGCAAGGTGGACTGACAAGGTAGGAGTGTCTAATAGAGTGGACCCTGTGTTTGAAAACTCCAGCAGCACTGCTGTGTCTGATCCACTCAGACCAGCACAACACACTATCACACCACCACCACCACCACCACCACATCAGTGTTACTGCAGTGCTGAGAATGATCCACCACCCAAATAGTGCCTGCTCTGTGAGGTGCCATGGGGGTCCTGACCACTGAAGAACAGGGTGAAAGGGGGCTAACAAAGTATGCAGAGAAACAGATGGGCGACAGTCTGTAATTGTAGAACTACAAAGTGCACCTATATAGTAAGAGGAGTTGATAAAATGGACAATGAGCGTAGAAACAAGGAGGTGGTCATAATAAATGTTACATTTATCTAAGGTTAACAAACGAACCTTAAAGCCGTGCTCCTTTCTTTTTTAACATAATTTAATAGCTATACGACATAAGCCCCCCCCCCACCCCCTCGCCCCATTCATCAGTGGTGAGGACGACCACTGTGCAGATATTATTTAAGAGGTGGTCTTTACTTCGTTCATCAGTGGTCAGGACCAGCAGGTATTATTTAAGTTGAAGATCATTCTCAGCACTGCAGTGACACTAACGTGGTAGTGTCATGTCAGTGTGTGTTGCTGGTTCTAGTGGATCAGATACAGCAGTCGTTCTGGATTCTTTAAACACTTGCTGTCCACTATATTAGACACACCTATCTTGTTGGTCCACCTTGTAGATGTAACGTCAGAGACAACAGCTCATCTGTTGCTGCACAGTTTGGGTTAGTCATCCTCTAGTCCCTCATCAGAGGTCAGTTTATGACCAGAGGATGCTATTGGTTGGATATTTTTGGTTAGTGGACTGTTCACAGTCCAGCAGTGATAGTGAAGTTTTTAAAAACTCCAGATCCAGTCAGTGCAACAGTAAGTGTAAGTACCATATCAGTGTCACTGCAGTGCAGAGAATGATCTGTCACTCAGATAATACCTGCTTAGTGGTGGTCCTGTGAGGGTCCTAATTATAGATGAATAGGATAAAGTGATGAATAGGACAAAGCTAACAAATGATGCATTCTGTAATTGTAGAACTACAAAGTGCACCTCAATCGTAAGTGGAGCTGTTAAACTGGACAGTGAATGTACATACAAAGTATAGTTTAAAGGTGTCCAGTGAGTGTACATAAAGACTGTTGTACTAAAGAAGTAGCCACAGCATTTATCACACAGGAAAATAGTTAGTAGGTACATAGATAGCAGAATTGAGGCACTGCTTTTTAAAAAGAGATTTGTGTACAATTTCTGTTAAGCCGTGCACATAATACTACCACTACTACTACTACTACTACTAATAATAATAATAACTAACAATAATAACAGTAACAGGGTTGAATGATTAGTTGAAAATATATAGTGTTGATTTGATCATTTTCTATGAATCAAGCTCCAGCCCTTTTTGTAACTCAAGAAATCCAGCACATCCATTTTTTCCAAACCTGAGGATTGAATGCTGAATGTAACATATTAGACCGTTTGTTCGAAAGCTCTGCATTATTAGGTTATTTCTCCACTTAAAATTTGTAAGACAGCTGTGAATAAAGTAGGAAGCAATTAAAATTGCATTCTTTCAAATAGTATTTTTTGATTAAAAAAAAAGATTAATGGTGGTTGTAGTAGTTGTAATTGTAATAACAATAATAATAATAATAATAATAGTAAGAATAATAATAAGAATAATAATTAGGGATAATAACTGGGCCAGTGTCAATATCCAGTATTTTTCATGTACATGCTGATGCTTATACCGATTCATAAATATTTATAAAATGTAGAATTGGAGACTAAATGTACCTAGATTAGCATTACAAAGCATAACACTCTATTAATTTTAAGGTCGTCAGTTCCCCAAGAGTCAACGACATACTTTAGTTGTCCAGGCAAAGTTTGATGGCGAGCAGCTAGCCACAGACCCTGTGGAGCATAAGGAGCAGCCACAGTTTTGTACTGAGTTGGCATGGGAGCTCGATCGCAGAACACTTCATCAGCATAGGTATGTACTCTGAATGTGTTTGTTCTTCAGTTTCTTTAGCTGTGTTCTTTATTTGTTTAAAAGGCAAGGTAACTGCTTGGTTTCTGATTTCCCTTACTACAGACTCCAGCGAACACCCATCAAATTACAGTGCTATGCAGTTGATTCAAATACATCTGCCAAGGAAAGTGTTGGATATATTGTCCTGGATCTCAGATCAGTACAGGAGGTTAAGCAAGTAAGCCCTGAGTCAACATATGTTGCTTTGTGCTGATGTTTGTTTGTTCTGAATATGATGCTTGTATAAAGTATTTGGACTGTGTTCCTCAATATACACTTAAAAAATAGGTAGACAGCATAGCCTTATTCTCGATGTTGACATATATTGCATCTGATTAAAATGTTGTTTTTACAGCCTCCTAAGTGGTATCCTTTGCTGAGTAGCAAGTATACCAAACTAAAGCCAGCTCTGTTGTTGAGCATGGTCCTGGAGAATGATACCAAACAACCACCAGATCAATTTAAGGCAAAGAAAGCTCCACCTAGACCAGGTAAATTTGAATTTCATCTGTCTTTTTTGTTAAGGGGAACTTAACAAAAAAGCATTTGTTTTACTATGATGAATGATACTTGAACTTTTGGTTCTCTCATTACTCCTTTCTTTCTTTCTAACTTTTTTGCCATCTGCTTCTGTTGATTTCATTTATAACTTCTGTCTTTCCAAAGCACTTTATCCTTCATGCATGTTTCTTTTTCCAAAGTATTTCTCAGGTCAGTGTTTATTCATTAAAATATGGTGCTAGATAGTATGTACCTCTGATATACCTATGTTTACACTGTACCTGTTTTCTAATGCCACTATATAACCATTTCTTTTTTTCTAGGTTCACCTGTCTTAGCCAATCTAGAGTCTGTTAAATTGGAGGCTGTTCTAAATGAAGGTGAAGGATATCATCAAATTGGACCAGCAGATCTTTGCAAAGACATGTTTATTTTGTCAGTCACTGTTGCCTTTGCTACCAATCTGGAGCAGGTAAAGCTCAGTCACTAGGACATAAAAAGCTTTGACTTCTTTTGTGTGTCCTTACTCTCATAATATTCATGTCATTTTGTTTGTCTTGGTAGACAAAGAGAAAAATGAAAATCTTTCCTTTTTATGTTGTAGTTGATCTCCAGTTCAGCAAAGCTGGCCAGTGAAGGCTCAGAGTTCTTCTTCTTTTACTCTCTCCTGGACAATGATGTCACCAGTGAACCATTCCAAAATCTCATAAGTCCAAATTTTGAGCCTGAAAGAGCCTCAGTTCGTATCCGCAGCAATGACAAGCTACTACGAGCCTTTCTCAGTCAGCAGCAGAATCTTCAGGTAATACACTTCAACCATCACAGTCATCTGGTGTGTGATTGTGTAACAAATGACCTACTTTTGTTATGCGAACAAGTTACGGCTACTTTCACTTATGTATGAATGCCTGTGTCTACTTTAATGTATAGGTCCACCTTTGCTGCGGAAATCAATCATTGGGAGGAACTGACATCTCTCTTGCTGCCCTGGTGAAGAACAGTGTGGATCTGGCCAAGGAGGCAGCCACTATAGAGGGAGCCTTTGTCTTGCAGCCCCCAAATCGTACCAAGCTGAGCCTCCAGGCTGTTCCTGTAGATTTACAGCCAACAGTTGGGGTGGCAATTACACTGAGAAGAGAGGATGTCAGTGCTGAGGTATACAAAGGACCTAGATCAGACAGAAATATTAGTTTGGGGTGGTGTTTTATTGAAATTTGGTGTTAAAAAGATGCAAGTTGCCATTTTATCAATTAATAAAACTAATTAGAGCTTATGTTTGCAGTGCCTGAAAAAGAGCTTGACCAGGGGTGTCCAATTTTATCTTATCTGTAAATGGCTGGTGTGGCTACAGGTTTTCATTCCAGCAAAGCAGGAGCACATGATCAGTTGTTTGAAGAAAGACCAGTTGTTTAAACAAGTAGAGTCATGTATGTTCCTGCTTGTTTACAATGAAAACCTGCAGCCACACCGGCCCTTTGCGGATAAGATGGACCAGCACCAAGTTAGACCAATCAGAAGCAACTATATGCTGTGTACATGACAACACAATCACAACTAATTGGCAGTCTGGTGCAGTATGACTGAGCCTCAAACCAGAGAAAGTGTAATTATTTTCTGTAAAATCACAGTTGTTATGTTGGTCAGAAAAATCGCAATTAGATGTTTTGTCCAAATCGTTCCGCCTGACTAAATGTATAAAGAATGTAAACCTTCGTAAAAAAGAGAACGTAAAAAAGTGCATTCTCATAGCGTATTGGCTTAAAAAAATAGCGTGAGATGATACTGCTTAGGGCTTGCATGCATTTGATACCAGCCAATATGCAGTTCTGGTAGCTTGTGTGTCTATCACCTAGCCTGACAAGAAAATATATGGCAAACACTATGGTACTGTTTTTGGACTTGACCTGTCCAAGTTGAACAGAACAGTCATCAGCTTAATCAAACCAGTGCAGTTGTGCAAGTTGCATTGTCAAGCGGGACAGACCCTCACCAAAACAAACACTTCATGTAAGTCATAATAAATAAAAATGTTATTGTCACAACACACTTATTGTTGCAGTGCCACACAGATCTAGAAAGATATTTAGTTCCAAGAGGTTCACAAGTGTGTTTTCATAACTGTAGAATTGGGCACATTACATTAGCACTATTACACTGGAGTGAGAAGAAATTAAACAGACTTTGCTAATACAACAAATAGTGTGGCGCTAAAATCATAACAATAGACTGGTGTGTAAATCCCTTATACTTAAAATAGTTTTAAGTTTACAGTGCTTTTGATAAACAGAAGATATGCCTTGATTCAGTTTACTGGTTTAATCTAATCTCTTTCTTAAAAGCTGCCAGAGCCACCCATCAAAAGTAGAGATGGGCTTAAGTCTCCAGTAAAGAAAAGCCCTGGAGTGGACGTCCATCCTGAACCAGCTCCAGCTAAGACAAGACCACGTAGCCCATCCCCGACACATAGATCTCCTGTCCGGCCGCTGACCTCGCCGTCACCGCCGCCTGACCGTCAGCACTCAGAGAGTGAGGCTGAGAGCCTGCCAGAAGATGCAGAGCATGTTGAGCCAAAACAATCAGGTTTGTTTTTGTAGGTTTTGAACATAACTTAGTGGAATGGTGTGCACGGTTTTTAAGGTGACCTATTACAGGTTTAAGCTGTTTATTTCTCAGTCAGACTTAAATATCCACTACAGGCGATGCTACTGTTGTTGTTTCAGAATTGTTGGCTCCTGCATTACCTGCTACAGACATGCCACTGGAGAGTGAGGCAGACGTTCAGGCATCCTCTATTACCGTGTCTGCCCCAAAGATTGCTATCCCTGCCTCAGCGCATCATTACTGCTTCTCCATGGACCTGCGCAGCATCAGAGATCTAAATGTGGGCTTCCCTGTGAACTGCATGCTGAGGTACAATGTGTCCAATGTGAGTAAGATGCCCATTTAATCAGTGGGTTTCCAGTAATGAGTGGTTAGTAAATTTCATGTCTAATTTTATAACTAGATATGCCTACCAGTTCTTTGGGAGTGCAGCCCCCATCATGACGAATCCTGCAGTGGAGATAAAGAAGAACACAGAGGTGTTCCTACCTCAGTCATACTGTGCCTTTGATTTTGCTGCACTGCCTAATCAACTCCAGGACACATTTTTAAGGTGACTGCGCACTACAATTTTACATGACATTTTATACTTACAAACTAGCTACAGGCTTTAAAACAAAACTGTTTCTGTCGTATCTTGTCTCTCCTGATGCGAGATGCAGATCAACAAAACACATGGTTCACATGAAAGTCATTGTATTATCAAGCCATATAATATGCTATAATATAACTTTTACTCTTAGAGCCACTACAAACAGGACGCGATGCAACACGCTCCGTTGTGCAGTATTGTGGCATCAGTGTGCTTACCTTCATTAAAACCATTGGTCTTGAATTTGTGTACACTGTGTGCGCTGGCACATCTGATGGTGGCTATTAGAAATTGATAAGTATTACTTCCATTTTGCTGTACTATTCAGATGTTATTACCTATTTACATTGTAAGTTATGCAGTAAATTACAATTACATGTGATTTACATTCTGTATTGACAAGCTTCACTGTTTTTTTTTAAATAATTTTTCTTCACAACAAACAAGATGCACAACAATTTATCTGATTCGGATCAGAAAAAAACATCTACTTATGAATACAAATGTGGTAGCGATAGCACTTCCAGTAGTGTATCTCTGCTTGTTTCAATGAAGTATGAGTGACCACATGTCTTTTCTGTTTCTTGAAGAGTTCCTCTGGTAGTGGAAATGTGGCATCGAGACCCAAGTTCCAGAGACATCTTACTTGGCATGTCCAGCATCCAGCTTTCACATCTCCTTACCTCTGAGAAGACTCGCTTTCTTGGCCAGTCTGGCCAGCAGCACTGGAGACAGACTTATTCTGAAAGGCTACCTGTTGTCAAAGCACAAGGGTTTGTGTAGTATTTAGCTGTATAGTTACATATGTTTTTGTCAGTACAATACAGTTTAGACCACAGACCAATTCTTATTTAGTCACCAGAGAATCTTAGGTGCAGTAGCATAAACATGCCTTTAGATGGCAGGCATGTAGCACTTTTTTAAGTCGAAGACAAAGGCCGTTCTCAGTTCTAGTAATCCATGTAATCTTCTGTTACTAACAACTAAGAGTAGTTCAGCTCTCATGTAAAAATCCAGAACTGATATTTGAAATTTTGCTTAATTCTGTCTTTACATAGATCAAATGAGAAGGTGGCTGAACTGAGTTATGTGGCGGTTCTGGAAGACATGGGTCTAGTAAAAGCCCAAGACATCCTCATATCTGAATCTTCTCTGGTAAAACTTGCCTAATGTTTATGATTCAAATTTGTGATGTGTTTTTCCAGATGCCCAATAAGCTTACTTCTACACTAGATTGAGCAACAGTGAATATGCACTATTGGCAGTGTATTTTATTCTTATATATGGCTTAGTCAGTAGACATTAAAAAGAACAATATGGCCAAAATAATAATATGTTCTCATATATGATTGTGACAGAGTGGTAACCAGGTTCATCAGAAGACAGCAGTCGCTCCTCAGCCTCACAGTGGGGTTGAAGTGGCAGCCAAGTCACGGGAGACTCTGGAATACAAGGCAGCTCTTGAGCTTGAGATGTGGAAGGAGATGCAGGAGGATCTGTTTGATAACCAGGTTATCTTTCTTTTTTATGAATCTTCTAACAACTGTATTTTTAATGTTCCTCATCTTTCATGTTGATGTGTTTTTATATTGAGGTTTCATAGTTTAAAAACCTTCAGTCCAGGCTTAAGCATGACAAAACATTGATGTTTGGAATAAGATGGAAAGTAATGTGGATTCGGCTTCTTTGTAGCTGAAGCAGAAAGAGCTGAGCCACATGCAGGCCCTGGCAGAGGAGTGGAGGAAGAGAGACCGGGAACGAGAAGCACTTGTTAAGAAGAAGGTACTCTGACATGGCAGCTGTAGGTCATTTGTGTTTGAAAAATGGCACTGCCAGTTTTATAACAGCATGAACAGCTTGATGAAGGTTTGCAAAACCGTGCCCATTTTTGGAATCATTTTCCCAGGAGATGGAATATAATCTGTTGGAAGAACAGCTACAGAAGACTCTTGCCGATCTGGAAAAGAGAGAGAAGACCCTCGCTCATGCAGAGTTGGAGGTTAGTTGTCAGTGCATTGCCATTATCACAGTACACAGGAATACTTGGGTAGGCCAAAGCTTAAACAAACACTGGAGTATTAATATGAATTAATTAGATGTGTGCATAGCTTATGTTCTCTCAATTTGTTTAGACTTGCGATGAGCTTGCCTTGAATTTTTGCCAAAGGCATCATCTTATACAGATCTAGTCAGCTCTAGTCACTGGCACTGTATGCATTAAAGATGAGTGCCACCATACATACAGTTGCAGTAAATGCATGTGTTAACGTTTGTGTATGTGTGTAGACCCAGAGGCTGCAGAGGGAGATGCGCACAGAGCATGAGTTCAGCATGCGCGAGCTGCAAGACAGCGGCCGACGTTTGCGCGAAGACTGTGCCCACCAGGTGGAACTGGAGAGGTTAAAGGTCAGGCAGCTTGAGGAGGACCTCGCCCGGCAGCAACAGCAGGTAACCGCAGTAGACATTGTGCAGCAAGTTCAATTTCTGCCCTACAAAGAGCAGCGCTGGAGAAAATGTTGACCTCAAGGTCAATGGGGCATAAGATCACTCCTCCCCCTTTCTCTTCTGGCTGCTTTAAGTAGAAGAAAAAGTCAAAGTGCTGCTGAAGTCTGGATGTGAATAGGCTGTATCTATTGGCTAGCATCAATTATTGTTATTGTTAGTGATTAATTATTGTTAAGTAAACAAGGGAATTACCTTTAAAGGACCCATTTAATGGAAAACCAAGTTTTTCTTGAATGGTTGAAAGCAAATCTTTGATGTAGTATGTAAACATACAGCATGTGTGTGTGTGTGGGTGTGTTTGTGTGTGTGTGTGTATATATATATATATATATATATATAAATATACACACACACACACACACACACACACACATACATAAAAGGTTATCCTTGAAATCTAAAGCCACAAATCTAAAAGTGAAATTTTTTAGTATGTCAGATTTGCACCAGTAGATTCTCCACGGTTCTGTTTTTATAGGCTAGTATTTGTTTGGGAAGGTGCTGCTAAGCATTCTTAATTTTAAGGCTTTCCTTTTAAAACATATTTGAGAGATTGCTTTACTGGCAAGCAGACTCCAGAGAGCATTAGGCGAACTTTGGCTCTCTATTTTAATAATCTAGAATTGTCACATGAACTCTGTTTACTTGAGCACATTTTATCACTGGCCTAATTAATCAACTAGCCGAAAAAAAATATGCTTGACTGCTGTGCAAAACCTAGCTTGTGTCAGACTGTGTTTCTGTCTTGTTGCATTTTTCCCTTATGACCATATTTCTCAGAGCTTTTTTTAATAGAAAAAAAGCCTCGTCTTAGCCAGTCTCTCCCATCGTCCTTTGCACAGACAGCCCACCTACTGAAATAGTTCAGTCTGCCGTCTCATTTTTTTTTTTTTTCCCAGAAACATCTGGACCGACCCCGGCGCTAACAAATCAAGCAAAGTAGGTTTCTGACATGCGTAAAGGAGAAAGGCCTTTGCGATGAGAGATCCTCGGCCTGGGCTGCCACACGGCTCTATATCTTGTCTTCCCTCCCGTGTCAGGAACGTGTAAACATACATTTGTCCTGTGTCGGCACACTCTAACTAGTTTATCAGACCAGAATCCTCCTCCGCCTTTTCTGTTGGACACTCCTTGCCTTGTCTCAGAGTGCCATGCTTTGTGTGTGTTGGGTTTCTTTTCGGGGTCTGGTTTGTGTCAGAAAGGGAAGACTGTGGAATGGAGAGAGCTTGCAGGGTTTTAGTTACATTGGGCGCTGTCTAACACCCTTCAAGTCTTGCGGCTCTTGAGCGTGCTGAAGCAGTAGCTCTCGTTAGCTGAGAATTGGGCATTTGTTTGCACTGAGTAGTGTTAAACAGAAAGTGCAAGGAGTCAATCTGCACGTGTAGAAATAAGTATTTATGATGTAGCCTTTTTACACATGCATAATACAATCAGTATTATATTGCTGTCAGCAGATACAGTAATTATCTAAAATTACAATATCAATATTGGATCAATCTAAGGATTCAAGCGAGATTTAGCTAGTGCCGGTATGATGATGCATTAAATTGCCCATATTCCAAATCAGTCGACTCATTTGGGAGCTTTCTTTTTCACCAGTAAAGGATACAACAATTTGCAAAACAATGTTTTTGATTTCATTAATGTATTTGATGTATTATCATCCAATTTTACACTTAAATTTATTCATTATTGTATCGCTATTTTCAGCAACATTAGGAGATACAGATATGAAAATATTGGTTATTAGTGTCAGCCCAGAATTTAACCTCCAATTTAAAATGGATTAGAAAATGATTGAGTTCTGAATCCCAGACTCTTTTTACTTGTTCTCACTTTGCCATGCTGTAAGCATTGTTCAGTAAGGTGATCCTTGGCACAGCACGGCTGAACGTTTATGAAGCTGCTATCGTTATCATTCTCTGCTTTTTGTGCTGCTGTACTCTTGGGCTGTATGAAGTATAGGAAGGCTGCAACAAGACTTGTTCTGGAACTGTTCCATTAAACCATTCTGCAATCTTGCACGCTTACTGTCTGAAAAGGTGCTGTATTTTCAAATTCAGACAGTTCAAGCAGTTGTGCTTAGGATTGCTGTAAAATCTACATTGGCAATGTACAGGAGAATTTTCAAGTGAAGCCAGACAATGATATAAAAACAGTAAATGCCGCTTTTCCGTTTTTTTTTTTTAAATCATGTTTCATTATGTCATATTTTGTTTTCTACACAAAAGCTAACAGAGGCCGAAAAGAAGTATAAGCTGCTCGAAAAAGACTTTCAACAGTATCGTGACCAACAGAACACTCGGCCAGAAATCCGCTTGCAGTCCGAGATCAACATGCTCCGATTGGAGAAGGTCAGTGAAAATAGACATAAAACACAGTATTCAGTAGCCTTTTGTTTTAGACTTGGTAAATGCTCTTGAATGTATTCATTTGTTAATTCAGTATGAACTCATAAAATAATCATAATTGCCTAATTAGTTGAAGATCCATACTTGAAGCCTTCATAAAACATTCATAACACTTACATAAATTGTGGATAAATCAGATGTTTAAGCAGGCAGCCGCAGGCAGTGTTCATATAGGTTGATGGTCCATTTGCAAGTGTGTAGTTTGTGAATGGGTTATGTATGTGCTTTGTAGCCCTAAATTGAAACCTTCAAATAAAGTGTTGGCATGACTTCTGTCGAACAGAAATGAGTAGACAGTAGCCTCTGAGGTGTGATGTAAACACATTCGTAAATTACCAGGAGCCTTGTGCTGAAAACTGTTGTGGCTTTATCATTCCCAAGGCGGAACTGGAACGGAAACTGGAATCAACAACGAAATCTAAACTTCATTACAAGCAGCAGTGGGGACGTGCTCTGAAAGAACTGGCGAGATTTAAGCAGGTAAGCTGTTGTATCACTTTCTTTTAGTGCATTATTGTATTTAGTTCCAAAGTAAGAAGATAATACAAACTTTGGTTGTCAGTTATGTATTTCATTAGGATTTGAAAACAGAATGGAGCAGTTAAAATGTCACTGTACATGGTGGTCTGCAATGAACACAATATGAGAACTATGTATTGCAATGATTAATTTATTTGTGTGATTTCAGTTTATTTATTTTTTTTTTGGCAGCTTTATTTAGTTGATTGTACTTTTCAGAAGCTTTTGTCAAGAAAGACCAGTGATTTCTACAGTCTAGAACATTCTTTTTCCCTCCGATACATGAGCTGTTTTCCCGGTCGACTGATCATAACGTACACATTCAGGGAGAGCTGCACTGTAAGATCTAGTGTGTGTCCCTCAACATAGCCATGGATCAAAAACAAAGGAGACTGAGGTATCCTGTATCTTGCATGAGTAGCCATGCATGGTAGTCAAAACGGGCGCAAGAAAATGTGCCATTTCTTACTGCGTTTAAACCAGATGTAAATTTTTCAAAAAAAAAACTTCACAGTGTACATTGAGAAACAGTAAGCCTGTCACTAGCTTGTGGTATTTGCTTTGAAATATTGGACTCCTTCTCAAGTGAACCCTGTAAAGAACTAATACCAGTGTAAACAGAGCAGATGCAAAGAGCTTATCGGCCCTTGCTAATAACTGTTAAAGACAAAGTCCAGCTGGAAAGTTTGAGAGCGACTCACCCCCCCTTTCCTTTTTTTTCTTTCTTCTCTTTAAGTGCCAGATATATGTTAAGAAAACAGCAGTTGATTTATGGTGCACAAAGGGGTCTATAACTTAATATGAAAGAGAGCTATAAATCAGGTTTGTATTATGCTAAGAATTAGCCTGTGTATTAACCATTTAAACACCAAGTTCACTCGTAGAAAAATTTGTAAATGAAAGTTTGAGGCTTATTTTGCACCTGTGTTGTACTAACCTGGTTAGAGTAGCTAATTTAGCTGAATCCATGTTGTGTTATTTACAATGACTTATGCTTTACCATGACTTTAGTAACACACTCCGATTTGGGGAATTTTCGACAGTTTCCCATGACAGTAAAAAAGAAAACGTGAATTTCAGGGTACTTGGAGAAGGAAAAATTCATGATGATCACCCTGAGTCCAATGCACATTCCAATGCGCTAACTCTGAGAATATCTTATCTCCTTAGGCCCTAATGCACCAGACTTTGCCTTTTTACTCCCTTCTTTCTCAAACTACTTTGGTATTTCTTTGTCAGTTTGAAGACCTGGGAAATTTTAAGCCGTGAAATCCCCCAGGTGCTTGTCCTGTTCTTGTCAGCTTAGTCCTCTGCAAAAAACTGCACTTGAGCTGTAGTCTGGCAGCCTTCTTCTCTCCAGCGAGTCCTCTGTCTGACCCCCCTCTGGAGGAGAGCCACAGGTCATTTACTGGTCACTCAGCTGCTTTCTCACTCCTCTGCCCCACCAGGTCAAGGCAATGCAAAATATGCTTGTGTATACAATTTGTCAAGGTCCTACAACCATTAGTTAAGGCCTGGTTTGGTGAACCTCTTGCCACGCACCTTTTTATCGTCAGTTTAGGCCTCTGGAAATATTTAGCTTAGCCATCAACCACAGGTAGCAAAGAAAACACTGTAGCCCTAGGGACCTTAAGAAAATCTGCAAGATAATTGTTTCAGTGTTTTTCTTCAGCATTCACTTGGCTATGAGGGCTATGGCTACAACTTGGTGGGTTTGTTTTTCTTGCAATTTAGGTTACTGCAAATGGTGTATTGGCCTCTAATGCGGCATGAAAACGCAAAATTAAATTAGATTATATGTAAACATATCAGTTCAATGATAAAATAAGGCCAAGTTGAGCTATTATGTGAGAGCATGCTTAAATTTTCACACGGGCTTTGTTCTGTCAGCAAATAGGCCAGAATATTGATGTGTGGTTTCTTAATGGTACTGCAGGACTGTAATGACGATTTTAACCTCAGATTTCAGCAGTTTCTCATTATACTGCCAGTTCTGAAGGTCAGATTCAATTAAACAGCTATTGAACTGCGAATGCACTGTATTTCTCCAAAGCAATTAGACTAGCTCAGGCAGAATGTAACTATCGTTATTGCAAGGATATCTTTTTATGATAGAAAGCAAAATGGTTCTAAAGGGGAAAATGTCAAATTGCCTCTACGATGTTCATAAACCATTTGGAATACAGAATGGTTAAATAACATCATTTGTTATTCTGCTCTATGGTGGTATGTGGAGCACTAAGTGGTGTTGAATCTCTGTCTTACACTCTCTCTCCCCCTGGGTTTGTTTGGTTTTCAGAGAGAGCAGGAGAACGCTATGATACGGCTGAAGAAGCAGCAGCAGGAGTTGGAGCATATGAGGCTGCGCTACCTGGCAGCCGAGGAGAAGGAAGCTGTCAAGAACGAGAAACACGAGCTCCAGGACATCCGCAATGAGCTGAACAGGTACGAACCACCATCCACAAAACCTACCACTGTTAAATCCAAATGCGACCGCTGGAAACGTACTGCTAGTTTGAGTGACCAAAGAAGAGTTTTTTATGATCCTCCCAAAAAAAAAGTTTTCCATTTATTTATGGTTATCTGCTGCTTGAGAAATGCCTCCACTTCAAATTGCGTTGAAATAAGCAGTTTCCCCACAGGTCATTCTGTTGAATGTGACTGGCTCACAAGCTTCTCTTAAACTGGGGTAATATTGAAATACTAAAGCTCAGAGCACAACTTTTAATACTGTTTACACTGATTACGTTTGTCCCTCTTGTCCAGGCTAAAGCAGCAAGAGGAGAAGAGGACATGGAAAGAGCCAGCCTGTGTCTCTCTGAATGAGAGCGCTGATGACCACCTGAGTCGCCTGCTGGAGGAGAGAGACACACTGCTGCGCACAGGTGTATACACACACGAGGACCGCATCATTGCTGAACTCAACAGGCAGATTCAAGAGACCATGGCCAGCAGAGCTCCAAACTAATGGCCATATCAGTACAGATGAGATAAGCATTACCACATTTCCCAATATTCAAGGCAAACTACAGCATTTCTTAATGCGGGGAAAATCATATGCATTCCAAATCAGACATAACACATAAAGCCCACTGCTTTATTTTTTTAAAGCCATTTTTACTCAGTTCAAAATTAATAATTGTGTACCATTCATGGTAAGTGAGGTGTAGGTCTGTCTGTGTCTGTCTGTGTAACACTTGCACAGATTGTAGCTGTGGATGTTCATTATGAAACCGTTCCCATAGTTTCAGTGAGTGTGATTTCAGCAGATGGCACTATCTCTCAAGAAATAGTTACATGAATTTTTTTCAGCCATTTTTGAATTTGGTTAAGGTTGTGTCAATCTCTATTTATTTTATGTTTTAACTCAAGTGTATGTGTTCTGTTACTTTTATATTTCTATCTTTATCTAATAAATTATTTTGTGATGACTGCAGTTTTTTCTTGATAGTTAACTTCAGTCTTTTAGAATACTCTACAACATGTTTTAAAAATGTGTAAATTCATTAAAACTTCTTGTTATAATGGGAAGTAAAATGCAGACAGCGATGGATAACTACCTTCCATTGCTACTTGTGCTGGTATTTAAACTGTACCATAAGAACTGATTAAGAATAAAATGTATATAATATACAATATAATAACTGCCCTAATTATATTTTACTGCTCCATACTTTACTTTCCATTACAATTTACCACAGGAATTCTTCCATCCTTCCTCTCAGGTGTGGGAACACAGATAATCATTAACAGCTAATATTGTCAGTTGAGGTAAAATTAGATTTAATATAGAAGATTTGATATTTATTTAGCAACTTCTCTCTTACAATTTGTCTGTTTTTGCAAAAGTTATATACTCATGAAAAATTTTATTTGTATTTCACATACTAATCCTAGGACATGATGTCAATGACATCCATTTTAAGAAAGCAATTTTAAATTGGATGTTTTATGCCCCTTATTAAATTATAATCCTTTAACACAAAATACACAGATAGACTAAGTTGCAGTTATCAACTATATCCTCAGTGATTCATTACTGGCGCTTGACACAGCAATGCAGGAAATAAGAAACAACTTGGAAATAAATTTCTGCAAGCACAAATGAAATAAATAAAGGATTTTTTTTTTTTCTAATGAGTGTAGTGTTTCATGTGTTCTAACGACACGCGTAGTAAGATTAATAAATTGGGACAAATGTATGTTTATAGCTGGATGAGGTGCTGTATTTATAGTTTGTTTAGACCTCCAAGAGAAGAGCACATGATGTGTTACACTAGGGGCATTCTTTTAAAGCTACCTCATTCTTTATAGATTGATACTGTCCTTGAAGATGAATTGAAATTGAGGTGGTTAGATAAAGGCAGAGAAATAGCTGAGCGAAATCTACTCAGTGGAGGCCATACAGAACGTAACAGCGTACAAATGCGGTTTTGTGTCAAATATGCTTTGACATCCTCTAGCAGCATCCAGTCACATGATAATTGGTGAATAAATTGCGCCTCACAGTTTAGGTTTCTAATGGTGTGCAGACATGCATGCATGTGCGTGCACGCGCACAGGCTGCTCATCCATCTCCTGCCTTGAGTGGTACAGTGGAATTCGCACTGCACTTTATCTGGCTATGAAGAGCAATGCTCCGGGGCCATTCGCACAGACCGCTGTCTGTAAGCCTGTTTTAGCAGATAGTGACGTATAGCTTGTTTTAGGCACTTGCAGCGGAGCCCCCCACCATCTCGGCACTTATGAGGACAGTCCGTCAGTAACAGCTTACACAGCTGATAGAGAAGCAGCCCTATCTACACGTGTGTAGAGCCTTACGCTCCAGGCCTAGCCATAGGATTAATGCCTGTCTGAACCATGATGACCAACTTCAGGGTGCTTCCAGACTGCTGAGCTTTGATCTCAGCCCTTCAGTTTCACACATATTCCTTGTTCCTTCTTAACAAGTCTTGATGGCGTCCTGTGGACTTGGCTCATCTAATTCTATATTGCCCTTTCAGAATGACAGAAAAGTAAAGCAGGTTATAAATTCATGGTTTGAACCACAGGGAGCCTAGCCTTGCAGTGGCTGTTCATCTAATTCCATGGATGGTCTGCCATTACCTTTGTGTTACACAATCTTGGCACTAAAGCAGTCAAAATAATCATTTGTTTGCATGTTCGCCATCTGTCTCCCTGACTGTTCAAGGACTCTACTTTCAAGTATTTGTTTTTCAACAGCTATTTCTCATCACGTTTATTAAAACAACTCACATCTCATTGACATTTGCCATTTGTACAAACTAATGTTACCCCGACTTTCATTTTTTACTGATAATAAACGAATGACATCTGAGCACTGATAGTGTAAGTGCAATCAGCTGCTTTATCTAGACGTGAAAATACAAATACACATACTTTCAGCTCTATTATCATCCTACGTGGTCAGACAGTTGACTTTTGACATGACCGTTTTAATAGCTTTCATGCAGTGTTTTGTGAACTCATGACCCTGCTTGATGTTTGGAGCACTGCAGCAAACTAGTGAAATCATTCAGCACTGAGGATTTCAAGGTGATTATGACCTTTTCATTGCTTTCACTCTACAGGCTCACTACTGTACATGGTCTAGTGAACATTCATGCAATTGGTTCCAGAATATTTTCAATTTGAGTGTGCTTTAGATGAAAGTCGTCCCTCATTAGTGCGCTGACGAGGTAAATGTGAAACATGTACCAAATCAGCCTCGGGATACATTTTTCATGTGAATAAATTGCGTGCAATCAAATATAGTCAGATGAGAACGGGCATTTCTCAGAGTTTTACATGGCGTTGCATGGTTCCAATTAGATTCTTTTTTTTTTTTAAATGAAGCTAGAAAAACTTGAGCTTTATCACTAATTGCATCTGAGAGTGTGACCTTTGTCTGTTTAGTATTTTCAACAGCAGGAAATTCCAAGGAAAGCTAAGCATTGTAGTTGAAAGCCCAAGGGCCACTTTCATGTATGTTTTCAAAATAATAATTTTCATCTGATCGTTTGTTGAGCCCTTGGGCTATGCCGCTTTTCACAGGTCTGAGTTCCCATGGCAGAGTGCTGTGATTGATGCTTGAAATGTTAACTATTTGCTTTACAAATTTGTAACACTCCCTTGGGAGCAATTTTGTCATATCTCTAAATCATAGTAACTGTTAAGCAAGAGAAGTCAGGTGGACTTTTTCCCTGATCAAATGTGAGAATGAGTACATCTGTACACTGTATAAGCCTGGCTTGTGCTGTTTAAGATGAATTTACAGCATTGCACATGTTACCTTAATACAATTTAATGGAATGTTTCCCACGAACATGCCTCTAACTATTACATAAATCAACAACGCAAAATGGCGTTCCCATTTGTCTTCAAGTCTCAAAAACAAACGATTACAGTCCTGTTCTGTGTCATCAAGAGCCTTGTTTTTCAGTGTAATGAAAATACCATGAAAACTAATCATTATCTTCAGCTGGCAAAGAATATATATCCAAACACCAAATTAAACAGTGCTGTCCAAAGTCTACAGTGAAATAAAACTAGGGTGCTTAATACTATATTAAGATGCATGGCCATTGCACTTGCAAGTGAGTAATGTCGGGCAAGCCAAACTAAGCAAAACTGCGCCAAAAAACTTAGAAATAATGTTGATCTAACAATGTCCAGTCGTTTCCTTGTTTTAGCTGATTGTCAATGATAACTGAGAAGCAATTGTTTTACTCTTTCCCCTATCTCATGTAGCTCTGTACTGATTTTTCCCCTAACAGATTAAATGGCTCGAGCAATCCACATTGAGCATAGGCCACTGAAAGAGGCATGCAAGTCCAACCTTTCCCAAAAAAGGGCGCTTTTGAATTTTCTGTTTTTATTTCTTTTGTGTGATCTGGGCACAGTTTTTGGGGAGGGGGCATGCTTGAAAGGTGTGCATGGCGAGCCGTAATAAATCAGAGTGCGAGCGAGCGAGTAGCGCTGAGTTCATGTTCCACGGGTCAGATCCATAACCCCCCGACAGCTGCCCAAGCCGCAGAAACAGAGGCGCTGTGGGACGTGACCTTCCACACAAACACCACAGGGGCCAGAGCCGGAGCGCTAACCTCCGACGCCACACTGATACATCACCGGCTCCTAAAGATGGATTTCATGCTTTGCGCGAGAAAAAAAGCAAGAAAAGGGAAAGCATCTCTGTTGATTGTGTATTGTTTCTAGAGTGCATCAAACAGGAGCTGTAAGTAAACAGTGAAGACAAAAAAATTCTCCATCACAGGTTCTGCTTCCAAAAAGCACACACTGATCATTACTGAGATGTTATAGGGGAGGGTGGGGCTCAACCTAAAGCATCTTGGTTTTTGCTGAACAATTTTGAATGTATTTGACGAAAATAATTAATATTATACAAGCAAACTGCACATCTTTGCTACAAATGAAAAACACTTTGTTTCCAGCACCTACAGTTTCTGAACAATTCAGCCAAAAGTGGAATTACTGCAAAAACATTACAACTAACCCCACAGGCTGGGTTAAATTTAACAGGCTGATGGGCTAGTTGTAACAGTTTTGGTTATGTTATTTGAACCAGACAAGATATCCAGCCTACATAGATAAACATATATACAGCAAAATAATTCTAATTCGTGAAAAGAGGCTGTTGAATGTGGTAAATTTATTTTTGGCCACAAAGGACAATAGCAAATATCATCACAATAAAACTGAAACATTTTGTTTAAATGAAATGGAATGTTTTTGATGAATCTGTGCATAAAGCTTCCAAAAAATGGACATTTTTAAAATTATATGGAGGGGTATGGAATGGATTGTTTATTTTAGGTGACTTTGTATTACCATTGCTACAACTTACCCCGCCATGTGGAGGCTGTACTTTATCCTGGCTAGCTCCCTCATGCTTTAAAATGGTGCTGTATTTCAGCCACCAAGAGGGTGATCAAAAATACAGGTGTTAATTCTGACTTAAACGTACTCTTAGGGTGAAAAAAGTTAACTTTTATGGTACAAAATACCAAGAAATGTCTGTCTGAGACTATGATAACATGACTAAAAGCCCCACTCTCCCTTATTTACACTGTCAGGCTGGTCAGATTTTTGGTACTGAATTTTCATAGAACATACTTTCGAAGAGATTGGTGTAGATACACTTCAACATTCCTCTGTCCTCTTCTGTTTAGTCAAGGAGCCAGTTGTGAAAAAAATGCCCTCATATGTACAAAGAAAATGCTAGTGGTTTATGTTGTTCATGCTTTATGTTTATGCAGCCATTACGTTAGTTCTGTCCCTCTGTACAGGGAATGATTTAAAAACTTAGGAATTTGGAAATGATTCATAAAATTAAAAGAACACACAACCCAGTAGTGCGCTTCAGCTTTGTTTTTTACATTTTTTTGACAAGAAATGCGTTTTGTTTTTGGTT